GAATGAGACTGAGTGGCTGTGTGCCTGATCATTTTTTAACCACAAAAAATCATCCAGAGGACTTTACATCAGCTAAACATGCACCGTCCTGTGTCTGCAGCATAGTTTAATCAGTCATTTAGAAAGTTTAGAAACTGAACATCGATGAACAGAGGAGGGAAAATCACACACTGGGGTTTTTTTATTGACTAGTTATTTGTTTAACCACTTAGTATGGAGCTTTGAGACCTTCACGGTGGAATAAGACAAACCAGGAGACAACCCAGCCTCTGGAGAATAATTAACCGAGCTACATTTTAGGGCTGAGAAGCTCCTCGCTCCAGTTTCGCAGGCCTCAGTTTGCTGACTGAAAGGCTGCACTGGGAGGGGCAGAGGGCTTGGACTGTTGACCTCCAGCATGCTGGCTACGTGCCGGAAAGTGGCACAAACACCAGTCACACATTAGCAGCCCTGTGAGGCTGTGCTGCAAGTTCAGCTGATCTGTGAACACACAAACAGCTGAAGACGTGCGCGCACGATGCATTTCAACTTTGCTGGGATTTAATTTTAACTTTAAATACCATAAACAATGTATGTAGGGTAGTTTTGATTTATTACAGCATTTCAATGAACTACACATCTGTCTGTGGTATTGAAGCGATTCCAGCATCCCAGTTTGGTCCAAAGTTACTTCAGTAATACCTGAAACAACAAAACAAAACAAAAAAAATGCTGTTCACTGAAATCAAAACTATATTTAAGGAAAATAGAAACTGAAAAAATATTGTACATTTATACTATAAGAGGTTGAAAAAGTGTTATGTTTTAGTCTCTGACATTTTTGAGTGTTGGCTTTGAGACTGTGGCTTTATTAGGACTCTGCCTCCTTTAATAATTCACGTTTTAAACCTGTGACATAAAAGACTAAAAACACAAATCTGTAAAAGCTAAATCTACAGTTGTAACCTATAGATTCAACAAAAAGGAATTTTTGGTCATTTTCTGCACTTATTAATATAACTACATTTATTATAGATCCTTCTGTCTTCCAGGTCTTTATTTTTGCTTCATTTCATTTTTAATAAATCCCATTTTGATTTTGAATACTCCATATGGGCTTAAATTTATAATCATTTACTTTTGAGATGGGGAGTTTTTTCCAGATTGAACATTATCTACCGTATACAGTTGGAGGGGTAGCTCTCATTTAGATCATGTTTGAAATAAATCGGTAGTCTGTAGTTTCAGTAACAAATAAAATACAAAAAAAAAAAGAAAGAAAAAAAAAGCATGAGGCATTTCATTTTTACATTTTTTTTAAATTTATTTATTGGCCACCATTTCACGTTTTCCACATTAATTTGGATATGATGGAATGCTTCGTTAGGATTCCCCCTCCCACACCACCATCGCTGTTCAGCTGACATCACCTCGCTCTACTCAAGCTTCCCCTCCCTGCCCCACACTCACGCGCACACACACACACACACACGCACACACTGAGGCAAAGTAAGGGTGCTGCGTAGAGCCAAAAGGGATGCAGGACGTACAGTATGGGTGAGGGGTGGGGCTGTTCCAACTGTTCCCTCCCCGCTTCAGATATCAGACACGTCTCTCAGACCGACCCGACCAGTAAACTTAACCAATCTCTGTTTGCTGTAGTAAACACATGAATCTCTGATTAGGCATGAATGCAGTGCAACCCATCAGAATCCCCCATACTCCCACCCACCAGGTCTGAGAGCGTCCACACGGGCCAACTCTGCCCCAACCGGGCCAAACTGGCAACAGCTGGGCACAATGGTACATTATTATTATTTTTTTAAAAAAAAAAAAAAAGAAAAAGCCCAAAAAAAAAAAAAAACTCAAAGTGAAAGCAATTAAATAAAATACGATTTTCCCCAAAAAGTTAACTTTGTTCCATTTAGAATAGAGTCAGTAGCCGCGCTGAAACGAGGAGACAGAACCGAAAGATTTGGGAATGAAGAAATGACAGACCCCCCCCCACTGAAAGAAAGAAAATAATTGGTCTCGGCTACAGATGGGGGGCTCTTTGTGCTACACCATGGGGGTTATTTTAGTGAAAACATCTACAGGATGGCCCCTTTTCCCCTGAGAGATCAGTCCTTACAAAACCGTCACACAAACCTGTGGTCCAATCAGAGGGAGAAGAACACTGGCAGCAGCCCGCCCCCCCCCTTACATACAAACATAGGTTACAACGCTCGATTTGCTGATACCCACACTGAACAAATGAACAGCAACGACTCTTGAAAAGGAGGGGGGCGTGTGGAAAAACAAACATTTTGAAAACTTGGATCTCAATGCCATTTTTTTTTTTCTTTCTTACATTTGGTTCAAAATATACAAGGCAGACAGCTGATGTGGAGCTTTGCAGACAAGGCATTGAGGTCTCCCACAGGAAATGGTGCACTGTTCCACAGGGTCCCGCCAGGTGGGACAAGACCAGTCTGAGCCAGAGGTTGGGAGGTTGCAGATGTGACAGGCAAGGGGGGAGGTTAAAAAAAAGAAGAAAAAAAAAAGCCCCGCCATGCCAATGATGGACTGACTAGCTGGCGGGCTGTTATCAGGCCAGCTTACTGACTGACTGAGGGGAATAATGAATGTTCACAGGACAGGGAAGGTCCACAAAGAAGTGAAGGTGGTGATGGTGACTGTTTGGGAGGGTTAGGGCGGGACTCGTCTCCTCTCTCCGTTTCTGCCGACGTTTACAACTCATCGTGTCCGTCGTCGTCAGTGCCGTCCTCACTATCGGAGTCGTCCTCCACGTCTTCCAAATCCTGCAGAGCAGAGAACAAGGGTTAGAGATTCAACAAAGTCCAATTTGTTGGACTCGTAACCTGAGGTCAGCAAACCAAAACCTTTTAGTGGTCCCCCACACATGTTTTAAAACACGAGGGGACCGATCTTTCCAAGCTGTTGCACCCAGATTGTGGAATGCACTTCCCCTATTTCTATGGGGTTTGGACTCGGTGGAGACCTTCAAAAAGCAGCTAAAGACATTTTTATTTCAAAAAGCTTTTAATTAGACCAGGTTTTCATGGTTTATTTTATGACTGTATTATGTTTTTACCTTGTAAAGCACTTTGTGACATATGTCTGTGAAAGGTGCTATATAAATAAAGTTTACTTACTTACTAATTTACTCTACCTCTGTACCACAGAGGGTTTATAGCTTAAATATAAACTGTCAACATAAACCACTCAACGACATTAAAGGAACGCTTTAATTGAAAAATGCTGATATCTACTGATACAGTAAGACTTTGCTTATTGAGACAACTCAACAAATCCTGCTGGGGCTGCGACAAACTACCGAAAATAACCCCCGATGTCACCCTGAATCCCTTCATCACTAAACAAGACCTTGAGTCAACACCATCAGACACACAGCTCGCCATTTTGATGGCATCTCTGCTTTACAGGCATTTCTTGGGTCTAGTCTGAGGACAGGTGCGGTGAGGAGAGGTGTGGGATATGTGAAGATGCTAATGGTGACTGCTATGCTGCACGTGCTGCTTTTTTCTGGAGGCTCAGGTCTCCAGGCGAAGCCCAGTAAACAGCGACAACAGCTGCAGGAGGCATTAGAGGACTGGGCTGCAATTAGACTTGTGTGAAGGGGGGGTGTGGTGGCAACAGTGGAGTGGGACGATGTCAGGAGAAAGTCTCCCATGCTAACGTGCACGCCAGAGTGACACAGGGAAGTACGGTAGAGTATCTCTGCATATATCGAGTTTCAGAAACTTCACCAAAGTCTTCATTTTCTTCAAGTATTTGAATCCATAGATGTCGTAATTCTGGCTTTTATCCAGAAAATGTAAACATACATTTTGATCAGCTGCTTACATCTGGGCAAGAAAACGGTTTTGCCTCAAACCTGCACCCAGACATCAGATTATTTGGACATCTACATCCGTGAAAGCTCAAAACGCGATACCGACGAGCATCTAATCGATGAGGTTCAACGGTGACCGCAAGAGTGCCGTCTGTGCACTTCAGAGCACCTCAGTTCAGAGGATCTCACCTCAGGTTCCAGGTCATCGTCATCGTCTCCTGCGGGCGCACCGCCTTCTTTGCCGCCACTCTCCAGGAACTTGGTGAAGCCCTCAAGTGTTCTCTCCCCGTTGTAGTCGATCACCTGCAGATGAGACGTCATTTCAGAAAGAAAACCAAGAAAGGAAGAGTCTCCTCTTACTGGTGTGCATACTAATCCTCATCCAAAATATTTTTATTTCCTTTTGGAAAACACTACCAAATAAAATCTTGTGCACTGAAAACATAAATTTGTTCAAAGTTAAAAACTTTTCCATGTTTGTTTCTGAGAAATGCACACAAAGCATTTAATTGCAAACACTGAGTAGATTTGCTTTATTATTTTATAATGTCCAAAGCTGCTCTATACGCAGGACAATAAAAGCAAAACACAGACGGTCAACTTTTAGAAAACCAGCAAATTTAATTTTAGCATTTTAAATCAGACATAATCACATCTGTCATTGCAGCCACCTCCAGACTCCGCTGCATGCTTCCACTAATCAGTGTCACAGGCTAATCTGCAGACTTATTATGCGGTGACCCTGGTATATAGCACTCATTTAAGATTCCTGAGAGAAAGTGGCACGAGCATGCCTGGCCAGTAAAGCGCAAAGCATGTGCAAGCCATCTTAAAGTGGGTGAAGCCATCGAGCAGGAATGCTCCAGAACCCCACACCAACATAATGCTGCAGAAACTTTCAGGAGTGGGCTCATGTTTCTGCACAAGGGTAACGCTGCTAAATCAGGAGGCAGTAATAGCACTGAGGTGACCTCAATAGCAATGATTTCAGATCCCAAAAACACAGCAAAGACATAAATAAGATTAGTGTGAGGGTGGAAATGGCTTCTCTCCGGCTCAGTGATCAGACAAAGGAGTTTCAGTCGTAACATGCCAACCGTTATTAAACCTGGTGTGGCGTTCGGGCCAGTGGGAATCATTTTCTAATGTTTATTAAAAAGTATTAGTATTTGTAGTCATTTGTTTTTAACTTGGATTCATCAGCTTTGGCTCATTTTCTGTGAAAAACAAAATAACCTTTACAGTGACCTATTAAAAAGGGGTGTTTGGATCTACTGGACAGACGGGACATGGAGATGTGGAGGTGCTGTAATCCCTCCTCCTGGCCTCTTTTTTTTTTAACCCAAATGTGAACATAAATCCCAAATTCAACATTGTTCTGTACTCAGACTGAAACTATTGACCGACAAATAGGCCAGTAGCTGTTTTACAGTTTTACTGAGGTCACAGATCAAGGAAGGCCAGGTTTCATTTCCTTGTATAAACTCAGAACGTCCACGTCAGCCATCTCCATCTTTTACATACAGTCTGTTAAAGCCGTCAGCACTCACCTTGCGCTCTTCTCCTGCAGGGAAGAACTTCAAAGTGGGGAAACTGTGGACTTTGACAGCCTCAATCTCATTGGCTGTGGAGTCCATTTTAGCTACAATAGTGTCGGCGCTGTCCTTGTACTTCTCTCCCAGCTTCTCCCAGATTGGAGCCAGCTGTTTGCAGTGTCCACACCATGGTGCATCTAAATCACCACAAAGATTATTAAAAGAAAACCAGAATTTTAATGGTGAATAATTTTTTGATAAAAACAGTAACAGCCGTCAGTTCAGGGAAAAGAATGCAACTTTTACAAAACGGGTTAAAAATGACACCCCAGGATAGAGTAAACAGCATCAGCACACTGATGCTTACCAGCTACGGTGGATATAAAGTAGCAGCTGACAAAATCCTTTCTGAAGCCACCGCAGGTTGTGTTTGAGTTGGGTTTGCGTGTCTGCAGCTATGTGCTGGAAGCCCGTCAATAGTGGATTCAATATCTAAGCTAACTTTAGCTAGTGTTGTTCACTGGGAGCAGAAGAGGCCCTGAGGTTACCTCTAACAGCCTGTGGACTGATTTTAAGGCCTTTCACCAAAGAGAGTCAAGAAAGGTTTAATTTTGTTAAAAGGTGTAAACTGCTCAGAAACTAGCAGACATGTTTGCACTTATTTGTTTAGCATTTATTTGAAACCTCAAAATGTAATTCTATATTGCAGAAAGAAACTTTTTACTCAATATGCATAGAATATTTTTCTTTTTATCTCAGTGAGTAAAATTCAGTTTGAAACGCTTTACAGTATAAAGTTAGAAACAAGTAACCACCGAGTGTGCATGCCACGTGCAGCCTCGGCTTCATGACCTGGCTCTATCCTTCGGCTGGCTAGAAAAAGCATCACCTGTCAGGGAATATGGGGCCTTCCCTGATGTTCATACCTCAACATAAACCAGATATGGAAAAAATGCTCCAAAAATAGTGCAAATCTGGACAAGGATCACTAATAAACAATCCTACAGCTAAATTTAACCAGAGCTTTTCAGCATCAAGTGTCTGGTGGCAAATTAATTTGCAGAGAGCGTGCAAGAGTGAGCCTCGAGAATGAGCAGGTATCTGGCTTAGCTTGGGCAAAGCAAGACGATTTGAGTTTCAGACAAGGGGCTTTGCCAAATCTCGCACCCAAGAGAGTGACTGCAAAAATACCCCATCGCCCCAACAGGTGACCCGCCCCCCCCGACCTGCTTGCCCCACTTCTCATTTAAGGATATGGGAGATAAACACGCTGCACCATAAAATAAAAATGGTTGAAATGCAGAAAGAAGGGAAAGCTCTTACAGAATTCCACAAAGACGTTCTTGGAGGGATTGAAGGCGACATCCTCAAAGTTTTTGCCGACCAAAACCTTAACAGGGTTTTTGTCCCAGTCTTTAGGGATGTCCTGGCTCATGAGGTGGGGCTGTGAGAAACAGACAATCACTTCTTTAAAAAGCGAACTGTGGTTTGGAGAGAGTATTTAAAGCACATTCCTACAGGCGAGGATCACAGATACATTATGGCATTAAGCGGATTAAGGCTGTAAATGCTTGTAAGATTCCAAAAAGATGTTTGCACTCTGGATGTGGTCATGCAATCGCCTTCACTATGTGATTTATGGAGACTGTAAAGTCCAAAATTAACATTTCTTGTGGCCAGAACAAAGTCTATGTATAGCGGTGTCCCTCACCTTGAGTTTGCCCTCAGTGAACAGTTTGCAGAAGTCAGTGATGCTTTCTGCAGTGATGGCGTCGCTCTCTGGCTTGTACTTGGTCATCTCGTCCTCCAGAGTGATGAGGCGGATGGCAGGGCACTCCTCTTTCTTCAGGCCGAAGAACTCCAGGATTCGCTGGTTGTCGTCAATGTCGCTGTCGATGAAGATGAACAGGATCTGGACAGAAGAGAGGGCGGAGTCAGTGAATGATTTTACTCAAAATAGCCCTCCTGATGC